ATGGGTGGGTGATGAATGTGTGAATGCATGGATAGTTAGGTGTTTGCATAAGTCAATAAAAGATGGATGTAAAGGAAGACAAATGGGTGGATGGATTGGTGGATGGAAGACTGGGTAAATGGATGGGTTGATGCATAGGTGGATGGATAGTGGAGTGGATAGATGGTGGAGTGGATGGATAAATGGATGGATGGTGAAGTGGATGAATAGGTGGATGGATGGTGGAGTGGATGGATAGGTGGATGGATGGTGGAGTGGATAAATAGGTGGGTGGATGGTGGAGTGGATTGATATATGGTAGAGTGGATGGATAGATGGGTGAATGGTGGAGTGGATGGATAGGTGATGGATGATATAGGGGATGGATAAGTTAGTGGATAGGTGGATGGATGGTAGAGTGGATGGATTGGCGGGTTGGTGATGGACGACTGGATGTATGGATGGGTGGATGGATAGATAGGGGATGGATAGAAGAATGGTAGGATAAGTGGACGGATGGTAGAGTTGGTGGATATGTGGATGAATAGGAGGATGGATGATAGATTGGATGGATTGGTGGATAGATGGTGAAAAGGATGGATGGTGGAATGAATTTATAGATGGGTGGATGGTGAAGAGGATGGATAGGGATGAATGGTGGGGTGGATGGATGGTAGAGTGGATGGATAGATGGATGGATGGTTGAGTGGATGGATAGGTGGATTGATGGAGGAGTGGATGGATAGATGGCTGGGTGCATGCGTATATGCGTGGTGTGTATGCATGAATACATACATTCATAAGTATATCACCATAATACATATCTACCTATCTACACACAGTCATACATATACAGGCTTGCCAATCTCCTAGGTTTTCCTATCATGTCCCGGATATTATCCTATGAAAATAAATGCTCAAATGAATCTTCTGATTTTCAGTCGGTGAAACAAGTGGTGTAGCTTAAAATATCCGCTTAGTCTGAGGTGTTTGTTTTGTGTCGCGTGCACTGAGAAATGTTCTTTCGCTCCGTTTGTGATAATAAATGTTACATTTTAGTGATCGTGTTAGGGGAAAGTTCAATTTCACGGGATAACTATCTAAACGGATGAACAGTTTTTAGTGAAACGAGGAAGAAATAATCAGAGTGGGAAATGTGAATATTCACATTTCTGTTTCACGTTGTGGAAGAGTGGAATAACAAATTACATGGCAGGATCACACGAAACCAGTCCCAATGGCTTTATTAGAAACGTATGAAATGTATATTAACAGATGTGACAGAATGAAAGCAACTGTCTGGAAGCAAGTTACGTCTAGATTCGTCAGAAAGAGTCGCCCAAGGCATTCAGACATGCATCTCACTGCTTATGAAGACGATAAATCGCTGTGAAAAAGGGACGTTGGTTGCTCATTGAACTTTAGGCCACTCGCTGTATCGGTGTGAAGTCATTGTTCCTCCATTTCCCCCCCTTGAAGTCCTAACAAATGCGTATCAATGCAGTTCGCTAAGGTATATCAATAAAGCCACCAAGAAAAAGCCACCAAGGAAAAAGCCACCCAGTTTGCTTTCGCGCAGTGTGATTGCGATGCACGACCGAGTGAGTAAGGAAGTTGCTATTCTGCATATTATTTTATCTTGGAATGAACTGGAGTGAAGAAACAAGAGAATTGTCTGGGCAACCACTAGTATCAACAGTAAAAGACAGAAAAGATGATGCTTTATTGGATACATTTTGAGAAGAGATGAACAGAGAATCACCGGACAGGTACTGAAATAGGAAATAAAGAGATTGAGAACAAAACTCCAAGAGAAACCCTAAAGCGAACGTTTATAAGAGAAGCCAAAGGTGCTGGACTAGATTCCATCCCTGATATCGAAGTGATTGCACGGATAGAACGAAAGGAAGACGCAGACGGCAAACCCTATGTGACATAAAACGGCACAACTTGACAATAAATGAGTGGATATTCTTGTTTTTATTAATTTAAACAAGGCTCAGACCAAATGAACCCACCAGGCCAGAAAAACAAAAAGTTATAGGTAACCCATGGTCCTCGTTGTTTTCTTGGTGACGCCACCTCGGACGATAGTGCTCTTCCACATGTAGCGAACATTGTGCAGGAATAGTTAGCACAGAAGACGTTGGAGGCTCGATACATCAAGTCTAATCTCCTCCGTCTGTTTGCAGCTTGCTTTGTTCGGACACTCTCAACTCCCAGTGAACAACCATTTCAGACCAACACAGATGTTATTATGACAGAGGTGATCAAATGGTTGAGGCAGCAATCAGAGTCCTTGTTCGCGGATGGTATATACCATTCGGATTCACACAACATAACGTTCTCCCTTCCCCGTGCAAATTTCTTTTGTTCGGACACTCGCAACTCCCAATGAACAATGATTTCACACCAGCGCGGATGTTACGACAGCGGTGACTAAATGATTCAATGAGCAACCACAATCCTTTTTCGCGGACGGTGTCTACCGTCTCCTCAAGCAGTGAGATGCGATTTTGAATGCCTATTGCGATTCCTTCTAACAATTCCAGGTGCGGACGTGCTTCCTTACCGTAGCTTTTTTTAATTGTTGCCACATATGTTAATCTACCTCGCATACGTTTGTAATAAAACCCTGACGGTTAATTGTTGAATGTTTCACTCCTAGGACTGTAAAATCAGTTAAACTAAATCCCTCACAAGGTGAAACAACCACTCAGTTCAGAAAGTGTCAACACTCTCTTGTAGAAGGTCACAGTGTTGATAAGTAAGTAGTAGACATTTGTATATGAATCATTTCCTGTTCAATCCGCACTGTTTTGACAGGGATAGACAACGTCAATTGTATCGCTGAGTCGTGTTTTTGCTATTTAATATTGAAGATATCATTTTATTGTTCCATAGATGTATATTATCTATATATAGATAAACATGGATACGCGTAAAAGCATCGTGATTTGTGGCTGTTCTTGTTCTTCTTTCCCATCTAACCCCCAATGGAGCATAGACCCTCAATCAACACACGCCAAGTCGTTCTATCCTACGCTGTCGTTTGTAGCTCTCCCTATCTTTTTTACTTCGCAACTGAGCTACCCTCTCAATGACTTTTGTGTGTACAATCTTCCTTGATTTTCTATGCCCGTGTGGGTTCCAGTGCAAAGACATCCTAGATATATTGTTCTCAGGTTTTCTCATAGAATGTCCTGTCCAACGAAAGCGCATTTTTGGTTCCTAATTTATAACGTACCCCAAACACGAAATCCCCGTGGGAAAGTGTGCTGTTGTTTGGTTTTTTTTTTTTTTTTGAGTGTTCATCTAGTGTCTTCCAATCCTAACCCTAACCCTAACCCTAACCCTAAACTTGGCTGTAGATAAATCGCGAGAAACTACAACCTGAAAACCCTAGAATTTATTTGGATTGTCTCCCGTGACGTAGTCGTGACGTCAGGGGTAAGTTATAAATTAGGTACCGCATTTTCTTCACCTCTTGGTCCACTGGAACTCGTTAAGCTCTCTCCCAAAGCTCAACTTTAGTGATTCCACCATACAGTATAATTCTCTCCATTCCGCGCAGGCACACGCAAATGAATTTGTGGATGTTCAGCCAACAACAACTTTGACAGAATTCAAACAGCTGTTACAGCTTATTATTATTATTATTAATAATAATCCGGGGATTGAACCCGGAACCTGTAGCACTCGAGGCGGACACCACGCCTCGAGACCACACAGCCCCCTGGGGCACTCTGAAAAAAGTGGAGAAACTCCAAAATTATTATAATAATTATTATAATTATTATTATTATTACCTCAAGGGCCGAAAGTATTTTGTGTGTATTACATGGCTTGTCGGCGCATTTGGCTTAAGCGTTGCGAACGCGCTTCGTAATGCCAGAGTGACTGGTTCGATCCCAGCTGCAGACAATTTGTCTTGCGTTGCTTTCGACGGTTATACCGAGAGCTGACCGTCCAGGGAGCAATGGCACACTACTGAACGTAAAATCTGCCACAAACCGCAAAGTGTCTGTTGCAGTAGTGCTGAAAAAAAAAGATGACTTACAAAAGGTGCCGGTACCGAAGAAACTGGCGTTGTTTCAGCAACAAAAGCATAAGTGCATTTTTAACGAAGATTCCAGCTTGTCTTGGCTAGAGCTACGGAGTTCGTTCTTTATGTGACGCTCTCGGCAGGCGGCAAGAGGAGAGAGGCCAACACGTATGGGATCAAATCTGATTCAATAAAGTTGACTCGACTTAAACTTTAAACTTGTAGAGGGACGAAGAGTTAATTTGTAGAACTAGCTGAGCTGAGGACAAGAATTCACAGATTATGTGAGAAATGCAAATTATTATAACATGCAATGGATCCGCTCCATAAAAAAATACCTCTAAATCAAAGACTAACAAACTGATGACAAAGAAGAAGAAGAAGAAGAAGAAGAAGAAGAAGAAGAAGAAGAAGAAGAAGAAGAAGAAGAAGAAGAAGAAGAAGAAGAAGAAGAAGAAGAAGAAGAAGAAGAAGAAGAAGAAGAAGAAAAAGAAGAAGAAGAAGAAGAAGAAGAAGAAGAAGAAGAAAAAACGAATGAATGAATAAAAATAAATGGGGTGCGGGGAGGGAGAATAACAATGTTTATATCATATCCTTCTCACCCTCACGTGGGATGCAATTTTTCGTTAATTTGAAGCTCCACACTGGCTTTTGCCGGGGGCCCTAAATAAGCCAGGCCTTAAATATATCATTCAGTAACGACTGAACGGGGTTTCGGGACCTCTACACGGGTGATCCTTTTCCGCGTGGTGGCAGGCACTTTGTGTCACCGAGTGTTTATCGCTTGTGTGATGTCCTTGTGGGGTACAAACTTGACTAAAAACAATGTTTTTTTGTAATCATATTCATACATGTCCACGTTTCATACAATAGAACAGTAACGGCCATTTCGCTTATATATTGCAGAACTTCCAAGATGGTAAGTCACTCTATTTATTTAGTAATCATTTCTGTTTAGACTGGTACATTTGCCTATGAGTTCCGGAGATCACAGAAAAAAAATGAGGTGGAGTGTAACTGAACAGGAGTGTCATAAACGAACAACTAATTAAAGGTTTGCCGAGTTTGATGCATCAGGCCGAAAGGCAGGTATCATGGACTTGCTATAAACTTCAACCCGACGTGGTGGTAGTGGTGGTCGCAATGACAGTAGTGGTGGTAGTGCTGTTGGTCGTGACGGTAGTGTTGGTAGTAATGGTGGTAGTAGTGTTTGTAGTAGTGGTGTTAGTAGTGGTGGTAGTAATGGTGGTGGTAGTAGTGGTGGTAGTAGTGGTGGTAGTAGTGGTGTAGTAGTGGTAGTAGTGTTGGTAGTAGTGGTGGTAGTAGTGGTGGTAGTAGTGTTGGTAGTAGTGGTGGTAGTAGTGGTGGTAGTAGTGTGGTAGTGGTGTGGTGTAGTAGTGGTGGTAGTAGTGGTGGTAGTAGTGGTGGTAGTAGTGGTGGTAGTAGTAGTGGTGGTAGTAGTGGTAGTAGTAGTGGTGGTGGTAGTGGTGGTAGTAGTGTTGGTAGTAGTAGTAGTAGTAGTGGTGGTAGTAGTGGTGGTAGTGTTGGTAGTAGTGGTGGTAGTAGTGGTGGTAGTAGTAGTGGTAGTAGTGGTGGTAGTAGTGGTGGTAGTAGGTGGTAGTAGTGGTGGTAGTAGTAGGTGGTAGTAGTGGTGGTAGTAGTGGTGGTGTAGTAGTAGTGGTGGTAGTAGTGGTGGTAGTAGTGTGGTGGTAGTAGTAGTAGGTGGTAGTAGTGGTGGTAGTAGTGTGGTGGTAGTAGTGGTGGTAGTAGTAGTGGTGGTAGTGGTGGTAGTAAGTGGTGGTAGTAGTGGTGGTAGTAGTGGTGGTAGTAGTGTGTGGTAGTAGTGGTGGTAGTAGTGTGTGGTAGTGGTGGTAGTAGTGGTGTAGTAGTAGTGGTGGTAGTAGTGGTGGTAGTGGTGGTGGTAGTAGTGGTAGTAGTGGTGTGGTGGTAGTAGTGGTGGTAGTGGTAGTGGTGGTAGTAGTGGTGGTAGTAGTGTGGTAGTAGTAGTGTGGTGTGGTGTTAGTGTAGTGGTGGTAGTAGTGGTGGTGGTGGTAGTAGTGGTGGTAGTAGTAGTAGTGGTGGTAGTAGTAGGTAGTAGTGGTAGTAGTGTGGTAGTAGTGGTGGTAGTAGTGTGGTAGTAGTAGTAGTAGTGGTAGTAGTAGTGTGGTAGTAGTGGTGGTAGTAGTGGTGGTAGTAGTGGTAGTAGTAGTGGTAGTAGTGGTGGTAGTAGTAGTAGTGGTGGTAGTAGTAGTGGTAGTAGTGGTGGTAGTAGTGGTGGTAGTAGTAGTGGTAGTAGTGTTGGTAGTAGTAGTAGTGGTGGTAGTAGTGGTGGTAGTAGTAGTGGTAGTGTTGGTAGTAGTGGTGGTAGTAGTGGTGGTAGTAGTGGTGGTAGTGTTGGTAGTAGTGGTGGTAGTGTTGGTAGTAGTGGTGGTAGTAGTGGTGGTAGTAGTGGTGGTAGGTAGTGGTAGTGTGGTGGTAGTAGTAGTGGTAGTGGTAGTAGTGTTGGTAGTAGTGGTGGTGGTAGTAGTGGTGGTAGTAGTGGTATGGTAATAGTAGTGGTGGTAGTAGTGGTCGAAGTGGTGGTAGTAGTGTTGGTAGTAGTAGTGGTAGTAGTAGTAATGGCACTGTTGGTGGTGGTGATAGTAGTGGTAGTAGTGTTGGTGGTGGTGATTGTGGTAGTGGTGGTGGTGGTGTTGTTGTTGGTAGCGGTAGTTAGTGATGATGGTTGTGGTAAGGATGGGAGAATTGATGGTATGTATGGTCGTGGTGGTAGTAATGATAGTGGTGGCAGTGGTTGTAGTGGTGGTGGTAATAATGATGTTGTAAATAGTGGTGGTAATGGTAGTGGGGTTGTGATGATACTGAATTGTGAAAGTGACGTATGAGTGCCAGTTATTTTAAGCACACACACACACACACACACGCGCGCGCACGAACGCACGCATATATATGAGTGTGTGTATGAGTGCGCATATATACATATATCACAACATGAGGAACTTATGAAAGGGTCGCGGAATTAGGATGGTTGGGAACCGCTCCTTTAGTGATTCTCCAGCTTTCGCTGGCATGTTAAAATTAAAATAACATTAACATAAAAAATACGTTACTTGGTTGTAAAACTATTCAGTTTATAATTCTCTCTCTCTCTCTCTCTCTCTCTGTTTATATATATATATATATATATATATATATATATATATATACACACAAATATGTGCATATATGTGTATATATGTATGTATTTATATATGCGTGTGTGTGTGTTTGTGTGTTTTCGCAGAGCACGCCCGTAGCTCTCTCCCTGGCCACTCAAGAAGTTCGTCGACACACCCAGAGGTGTCGAATATTCAGTCAGCTACGATACGATGAGGCAGAGTCGGATAGCTAATTTCTTTCTCTTTTTTTGGGGGTGTTGAAAATTGTGGAGCGGGTGGGGTGGGGGAAGGTGGGTGTCTGTACTGGATACTCATTTTCGTTGACCTGGGGTTCTTCTTCTATTTGTTTCTGTGTATAACATGCACAACTTTACACAATATATCCGACCAGTCCAATTTGGTATCTTTTACGTCTTCGCGTTCACCAGCTGTAAACTCTGGCGGAAGATTCTGGTTGTTCATCCACTTTTGGACTTCAGCCCTGTTCCAGAACCTGAGTGTTGCATGTGCATCCATTTTACAGATCTGACTCATTTGTATGCAGACTCATTGTTCCTTGCTTTTTAAGCAGATGTACTCCGACTTTAAAGGAAGCTTCCAATTAGTCGACTCTTACGACACGCTTTTGGGTAGGCAGTGGGTCTATTGTTGTTTTCACTATAACAGGGCCCCCGAACCCACACGCGGAATCTTGTCACATAAAGACAATGTTGGTCTTGGGCGCCGAATAGGAAGGGTATTTTTTTGGCTACCCACTTTAGGCTAGTTCTGTCATAGAATCTGCGTTGTGCATCATCATCAAGTGTCATGCCGGCTGACGTGGACGAATATTACTGGCCACAATCTGCGAACAGTATGTATCAGTTTGTGTATTGACACCCCTCCTAGCCATGACAAAAAGCTGTCAAGAACCTTTTCGCACTGTCTTCGGTTGTCTCTTTTTCCACAGATCTTCCAAATGGTCACAGAATATTCCAGTTTACTTCTTCTAATAACATGACCAAAAATTGCAGACTGTCTTCTTCTGATGTTTGTGATAAATTTTCTTCGAGCTATCGCCTCTTTCAAAACGTTCCGATGTTTGTGCGTGTGTGGGTGCCCGTGTGTGTTTTTGTGTGGCTGTCCAAGGAATTCTAAGGATGCTTCTGTAAAACCACATCTCCGAGGTCTCAAGAGGTTGTCTCTAAATAGCACTCGAGAATTTGTTGCCAGAAAAATCCTGTTCAATTGCATAACCGTTACACGAAGACATCAATGTAACCTGTGGCCCAGATAGGGTGGCATTTGTAACTGTTTGTCGGTTGAGAATAATTCTGTCATGTAATAACATACTTTTTAAACCAGTGTTTTGTTGTTGTAAATAACAATAGCCTTTTGCAAACTATGTTCACTATTCATATTCTAGCTTAGAATTTGTTTTTAAAAGTTATTCATTAAATAAAGTTTAAAAATGTAAACTAGTTTTATAGTAGTATGAAAGAACTCAGAAAGTGTCATCTGGCACAGCTCTCGGAACCCAGTGGTCCTGAACCCCTCGTTGTGGTATTGCATCTGGCAGTGGCATGGCGAGGCTTGACCGACTTGAAAAAAAAAAAAATTCGGACGCTTCAGTGTGCTTCTGGGGCCTTCCTTTACTTGCGTCCTTCTTTCTGTGTGGTTTAATTTCGTTTTGGTGACGTGTGCTCACGCCTTATTTCTTGCTTGTTTCTGCAACCACGGCCTTCTCTATTTATTAGAGACGGCATTGCTGCAACACTGATTGGGAGTGGATGCCTACTAGTCCTGAAAAGGACTAGTAGAGTTTGCCTGGGGCGGCCTGGATCGGGTGGGTGGGAGTATATTTGGCGGTCGACATCATGTCTATCTGTTCGCGAGCTGTGAGGTGTTTTTCAGGCTGGATGGGTGGCTTGTTCGGCTGTCATGGCGGCTAGTTAGGCAGGTGTGGGCGAAAAGGTGAATAGTGGGCTGTCAGCGTCTGGCCGTTTGTAGTTTATCGTGAACGGTTTGCCGGTGGATAGTTTCTTGAGCGCGTCCCTTGCTTTTTCTTTTTCTTCTTGTTTGGCTACCTTTTCTGCCTTCAGTTTTTCTTCTTCCTTTTCTGCTGCTTTTACTGCTCTTCTGTCTTCCTCTCTCATTGCTTCGTATTCCTCCTCCTGTGCTTTTTCTGCGGCAGTTTGTTTTACTTTCTGTGCTTTTTGGTAGTTTTCGAGGGACTGCCATTTCCTTTCCATTTCTTTCTTGGCATTTTCTCTTGCGTCTATCACTTTGTTGGTGGCTTGCAGTTTGGTACATTCTGTACTTGACTTGGCTAGCTTTTCTTTGGTTTCCTCAGGTCTTTCTTGACAGTGGTGACATCGGCTAGTAAGCTTATCTGGTTGTCTTTCAGTTCTTTGGCGGATTCAGCATTTGCTACTTTCATCTTCTTGAGGTCGGTAAGCATCGCCATCAAGTCGGTTTTGAACGCCATCATTTTTACATTTTCTTTCTCCAGTCTCCTTTGGGTTTCTAGTGATGACAGCAGGATGCTTCTTAGATCTGTCATCTCGTCTCTTTCCTGAATCTTTAGTGCCTTGATCTTGAGTTTTCTTCACGCAGGGTCTTGATTTCGTCCCTCAAAAGCGTGATTTCATTGTTGATCATGTGTGATGCAACTGTCGAGCTGGGCGCCTGGAATCTTCGTTTTGGCTCTTGGTTGTGAGTGGTCCTGGTGGTGGTAGTCGGCCCAGCTCTCTTGATCCCTTTCAGGTACGGGCAGCCCTGGTGCCTTGCGCTGTGACCCCCCGAGCAGTTAAAGCTCTTCTTACTTGTATTGGGCTTCCTGAAGTCTGGATCCACTTTTGCCAGGGGGCACTCCTTAAAATCATGCGGGCCGGCGCAGTAACGGCAAACTGCGCTGCTGCGGCAGGTCGCAGCGGTATGCCACGCCCGGTTACAGCGTGAGCACTGCAGAATTTCCAAGTAGCCGGATCCATGCTGCTGCTGGTGGCGGGTGCCGGTGGTTCTTGGACGTTCTACCGTGGTTGCCATAATAACTGGTAGCGTCTGGTCTGGTGAAGGTGTCCCTACAGGGGCTTCGTCTATAGTCGGCATCGTCCGGGTGGGAGAGGCTGCCGTCTCTACAGGGGCGTCAATTGGTGCTGGCATCGTCTGCACCGTTAGGGCTGGTGCGACGACAGGTGCTTCCTCCTGGTTAGCCGGTGTCGATCTGGTATCTCGGCGCTGGCTCTGCTTCTTCTGACTGGTTTTGCAACGGGCCATAATTGATGTGGCTGTGACTGGTAAAGCGGTAATGATCGGACTGCTATCAAAAGCTAGATCCCTGAAGAGTTGGCAAGACTTGTTAAGTATCCTGAAAAAGACACCAAGTGTGCTTTCTCAACAGTTCACTAGACAATCGTTTTGCGCATGGCAAGGCACGGTCTTCTCTATTTATATACAGAAGGGTATGGGCAAGGTCCGGTGGTACCCGGTACTTACATTTTTTTGGCGCCTCCCTCTACACACGCACGCGCGTACATAAACACACTTACATATATTTTTTTATGTTAAAAAACAAATACTTTAGCTTTTTCTTTCACTCCCTACCCCCCTCCATATGAACCCAAGGCGTCAAATAAAAACCCAGATCTTGAGGGAAAACCCAAGTATTGGCAGCCCTGATCTACATCTCAGCCTAGAAACAGGCTCCACCGGTTGGAAGGGTTGGGAGTGGGGGGGGGGGGGGGGGTGAAGCTAACCTTGATATATCAATTTGTATTTTTCAAGAGGTAAGGAGCCAACAGTCTGCACACAAATAAGCCGATCAGTAAAATTGATGCGTACACAAAACTCAAGTCCTTGAACAAAAATCGAAGTCTAAATGTTGAATTAGGAATCGACATCGCAGCACTCGGGACACCCCCATAAGTTCCGATTCCGATGGCCCCAGTAACCGTCTGATTGTATATCCGTCGCATCATGGACCATGTATGGATAAACAACCAGGAATTCCCGTCGAAGTTTATAGCAGTGAACACGAAGAAGGCGAAGTATGAAAGTTCTCATGAAAACATGACGTGATATTTCGTAACGGAAGGCTCACCAAGGATACCATAGTTCTCCGGTGGCTAGAGAGCAAAATGCATACAAATGTCTTAATTGTAACAGACTCTGAAAGCATGCTGAGAAAGGTGAAGCCAGGGATGCTCAGAGTAGAGTGGCAAGCTTCACTGGAAAGGTCACGGGTAATGAGCATACTTTGGATCTTTTCTCCAGGCTATGCCGGCGTGGTTGGTAATAAATAAGCAGACAGACTGGCTGGATCTGCACTAATGGATGGTGAATTGATACACGACAAGGCAGACGTGGTCAAGGCCCTTTGGGAACAAGCAACAGAATCAGTAGAAAAAGAAGATTTTTATGGCCTGGAGAGAATGAGGCACCTGGGTGTAACCAGAGGGTCTGGCCGGCTCACTACAATCAGAGGAAAGGCAAGACGGACTTAAAACCAGACTGTGACCGGTACCATCAGTATTGAAACTCTGCGCTGTCTGCTGAAGATAAGGACGAAGCATGCATAGGATTGCCCCGAGTGCTGTGATGTCAATTATTGACTCAACTCAACCCTATCTCATTCTGAAAAACTTTTCACACAGTTTTCATGCCTGAAACTGGAAAGCAGACATACAAACAAAGACAACATGTCTCACAATGGAAACGCCTCATACAAAGCTTCATTTTAGAAAGCTTTCTCTCATTCTCACACAATTTACAATGTCTCTTTTTTTGAGAAAAGATATAAACCCGAACGAAAAAAATTTTAGCAAGCTTCACAATATAACAAATACAAGCAAAACGTGAACGTTGTGGCTATTGAGCTTTCGTCAGCACACACAAAATAAACAATACTACATAGAAACAAAAAATCACTTAGCTGGTATCACGATGCGGCCAGGTCGGTTGTTTCAGCAGAATGACCCCACGTGCGGATAGCTGGGGTCTTATTATGAGACAATATGTCACATTCTCTCTCTTGTATGTTCTTTCTTTCTCTCACTCAAGACACCAGGTCTCGACTTGGAAAGCCCTCAAATAAACAAAACCCCACTGTCTTGTGTTTAATTCTCTTTCTTTCACTCAAGACACCAGGTGTCTACATGGAAAGCCCTCACATAAACAAAACCCCACTGTCTTGTGTTTAATTCTCTTTCTCTCACTCAAGACACCAGGTCTGTACTAGCAAAGTTCTCACATA